GCGGGCTGGGTGCTGGCAGGCTTGCACCTGGCACGGGCACCGTAGCCAGATCGTACCCCTTTAAGGGCTCCGGGGTCGGGAGGGGGGCAGATGAGTTTCCCTGGTGGTGCCCAGAGTGGCCACCAGGGCAAGCTGGGAAGGTCTAGCCTCCCACTAGTTCGAATTAAGGGTCTACACAGCCCTTAATTCGAACTAGTAAATTCGAACTAGGCTTAATCCTCATGGAATGAGGATTACCTAGTTCGAACTAAGCGCTCCGTTAGTTCGAATTAAATTCGAACTAGCGGAGCGCTAGTGTAGCGCCTATCAAAGTTAGTTCAAACTAACTTTGTAGTGTAGACATACCCTCATACATTTTCATGTCTTACTTTCAGACAATACAATATACCGTACCCAAAAAGGTTTATAAAATATTTGTTTCCTGTTCAAGACAAAACTCAATCATTGCAAAAATATATGGCCAAATAGCTACTACTGATGATTCTATAAACAGTGGCTTCTATGAAATACACACTACACTACAGCTTAATAAGAATTTAAAATTAGTTAAAATATATAAAGTCTAGTAGAGTCCATGATTTCCTGATAGTCTGCAATAGATGAAAATATGAAACTCCAGATGTTCAGTACCAGACATCTCAAAAGCAGCCTGAATTTAGGAAAATAACTGTAGGTACCCTATTTTTACTCCTTTTCACAGTGAATTCTGAACAATTATTTGCTTTCAGTACAGTAGCCTATATGTGCCCATTCTTAAAGCAGAAAAGGTATCACCATAATACACTATACACACTCCTTACAGAGTTGTTCCAGAGGCTGAGTCATATTACAAACATTTGATGAAAACAGGAGATGCATTCTTCAGGATGGATTTTAATGGGCAATGTATTTTACACATCATTTGTGAAAAGAGTTTGTTACATCAATTAAGTTTATAATTTTTCCCTTTAAAGTTGAGAAATTAACCAGGAAAAGCATGTTCATAACATTCATTACATAAAAGACCTGACAAGTGCAAGAGAACCAGAAAGAAAGAGAGACCGAGTT